CCATGAGTTTATATAAGCCTCTAGTAGGGTGGGGCTTATATCCCTTCTTAATCCTCTCTTCTTAATACAATAAATACTTTAGCACAAAATAAACAGTTTGTCATTAGCTAGAAAAGACATTTTGAATTATAATCCTTGTTCTTGTTGTGTCCTGTCGAGTTGGAATCAACCCATAGCTGACCCTCTGGCAGGCTTTCAGGGGAAGTTGATGGCTCATCTTTCTCCCGTGTAGCAGCTGGTAGCCTCAAACTGTGTGCCTTCAGGACTGTAGTGTAAGTACTTGTCACTAGGCCACCAGAGCTTCCTTGATAACCCTTGTTGTTATGTGCCATCAAGTTGCCTGCGACTCATAGTGACCCTATCTTTAATAGCTTTGAGCCAACCTTATTGTCTCTGACACACCTACCCCCCCATTACCCTAGTCTCTGAGTCAACCCATTTCAAACAGGGTCTTCCTCGCTTGCACTGCCTCTCCACTCTCCCAAGCATAATGTCTCTCTCCAAGCACTGCTTTCTACTTGCAACATGCCCAAAGTACATCAGACAGAGCTTTAGAATTCCTGCCTCCAAGGAGCAGCCTGGTTTCACCCTCTCCAGGATGAACTTGTTTGTTCTGTTAGCAGTCCATGGTATAGTCAATACTCTTTTCCAGCACCACAGCTCAAAGGCACTAATTCTTCTATCATCCCTAGTCATTGTCTAGCTTTCATTACATGCATAGCATGCAATTGCAAAGACCATGGCCTGGATAAGGAGCACCTTAGTCTCCAGACTAATATTGTTACTCTCCAGAACTCTGGAGATGTCCCTGAGAGTAGACTTTCCCAATGCAATTTGTCTTTTCATTTCCTGGTTGCTGGTACCAAGAGTGTTGATTGTGGAGCCAAGCAAACTAAAGCTGTTAACATCTCAATCTCTTCACCATCTATCCTGATGCTGTCAATCGGCTTAAAAGTGAGAATCTTTGTTTTCTTGATGTTGAGCTTCAATCCATTGAAGGCTACAGACCTTGACCTTCTGCAGCAATTTCTTCAGGTTCACCTCAGTTTCGGCAAGCGAGATTGTGTCATTTGAATAATACAGGTTGTTGATGAGTTTTCCTGCAATCTTGAAGTCACATTCCTCCTCATAGAGCCCAGCCTCCCTGATGATCTGCTTCACATATAGATTGAAAAGATATGGAGATAGGACACATCCCTGCTGTACATCCTCCCTGATTTTGAACCATGCAGTGTTTCCTTGCTCTGTTCTGATGACTCTCTCCTAGTCTAAGTATAGGTTTTGCATAAGCACAATCAAGAGTTCTAGGATTTCTATTCCTCTCGGAGTCAGCCATTGTTTGTTATGATCCACACAGTCAAATGCCATTGCATAGTCAATGAGACACAGATAGACACTCCTTTGGTACTGTTTGATTTCTGGGTGTCTAAGGGATCAGATCAACTACGTCTGTGGGAAGAATCAATGGAGAAGCTTGATATGACTATGTAGAGCACAACAAATTATGGTTAGCATTGAGAAGAAGGGGAATTCTAGAACACGTAATTGTGTTCACGCAAAATCTATATTTAGACCAGAAAGTAGCTGTCAGAACAGAGCAAGGAAACACTGCATAGTTCAAAATCAACAAAGGGGTGTGTTAGGGATGCGTCCTGTTCCATATATTTTCAATCTATGTGGAACAGATAATTTAGAAAGCTGGCACAACCTTGATGACACAACCTTGCTGCCAGAACTGAGGAGGACCTGAGGCATTTGCTGTAGAAGGTCAAAGACTACACCCTTCAATATGGATTGAATCTCAGCATCAAGGAAAAGAAAGATTCTCATCACTGGGCCAATGGTAGCACTGTGATAGATGGAGAAGAGAATGAGATAGTTAACAATTTCAGCTTGCTTGGTTCCACAATCAACACTCAACTGCACTAGCAGTCAGGAAATCAAAAGACGAATTGGAAAAATTAAAGAAAAAAAAACCCACAAAGAAAGAACCAAAAAGATTAATTGGGAAAATCTGCTGTCAGGGACCTCTCCAGAGTGCTGAAGAACAATGATGCCAATCTAGGTCCAGATCATGGTCTTCACAATTACTTGTTATGCATCAGAAAGCTAGACAATGACTAAGGATGACAGAAGAAGAATCAAAGCCTTTGAGTTATGGTGCTAGAGAGGAGTACGGAACATACCATGGGCTTCTAAAAGAACAAATAGGTTTATTGTGCATAGGGTGAAACCAAGCTACACCTTGGAGGCAAGGGTTTTGAAGTACTGTCTCTCATACTTTGGGCATGTGGCCAGGAGGGACCAGTCTTTGGAGAAGGACATCATGCTTGGAAGGGTGGAGGAACAGCACAGCAAAGGAAGACCCTGGATGAGATGGATTGACCCAGTGACTAGGGTAATGGGGTAGATGTGTTGGAGGCAGTGAGATTGGCTCAGGATAGAGCAGGGTTCTGGGCTATTGTACATAAGGTCACTGAGTCACAGTTGACACAACCACATGAAACAATAATAACATATTCAAAGAATACGAGACAAAGCTTTGTCATCTTTGCCTCCAAGGAGCATTCTGGCTGTACCGTCTCTAAGATATCGATTTATTCTTTTGGTAATCCATAGCACTCTTCTCCAAGACCACAGCTCAAAGGCCTCCATTCTTCTTCTGTCATCTTTATTCATTGTCCAGCTCTCAGATCCATAGAAAGTGATGGAAAAGATCATGGCATGAACCAGGTATACCTTAGTCCTCAAAGTGACTGTGTTGCTTCTCAAGAATTTAGAGAGGTCCTTAACTGTAGCCTTCTTCAATGTAATACGTCTCCTGATGCTTGATAAGCGTAGCTATCCAGTTGTTAAGTGTTACATACTTTCTTACTGGAAAATTATCCCAAGAGTGACTCTTCAGTAATATGTAATCATTGTTGCTGAAACTGGTCAGTTGATTGTCAAATCCACTTCCTGTTCCCACACACAGAACCAGGCCACACTGAGACGATGTGGTCTTCTGATACTGGCTCTGTCTTCTGCCGGACCACATAGCTCCTCTTCCCTATGAGGCCTCTCCTCACCATGTCTGCAAACTAGCTGGACCCTGAGCCTGGAGTAGCCATACACAGTGGTGAGAAATGACAGGATGTAGGAGGAGGAGCAGAGGATGCAGTTCTCAGCTGCCTTCAAGACAATCTGGACTCAGAGGAACTCCACGTGACCAAGTAGAATCACCTCACAGAATGATCACATTGTGTGATGTGTGTGGTGAAGGTTTAAAGGCTTACGCAGCAATTTCTACAAAGTTGTTGGGTGACATTGGTCACGCTCTTCACAATGTGCGTCCCTTGGGGTTTCTGGGCTGTAATCCAAGCAGAGCTCCAGGCCTGGCTCCCTTGGAGCTGCCAGCTGGGTTTGAACTGCTGACCTTTTGTTAGCGCCCAGTACTTAAACATGTGCCACCAGGGCTCCTTCCAGCAAAATGCTGAAATGCAGCAATTTGTAAAAGTGAATATTAGAATTTTAAATTAACACATTGTTGTCTTTGTTGTTATGTAACATTGAATCAGAATAGACTCATAGCTGATCCTTCATAAAATTTTCAGAGGCGGTTAATTGCATGAGAGAGACTGCCCATCTTTCTCCTGCACAGTAGCTGGTAGATTTGAACCACGTGCCTTTGGATCGGCAGTGCAACCCGTTACCACTAAATCACCAAAGCTCCCTTTTGACACATGGAAAGATGATTTAGTACTGACCTGTCTGGTAGTCACGAAATTGCAGAGTGAAAAACCGATATCACTTAGAACTAACTCAACAAATTGGCATCCATGTCTCCTGAACAGGGAGGGTCCTACTCCAGGGCCTAACACAGACCCAGCAGCCCTCACTTCTTGATAGAGTTTCTCCGTGGTGGAGGCAAGGACACTGCGGGCTCTGGCTCTTCAACACCACACGGTTCCCAGTCCCCAGGACAATAGGGACAGCTCCCAATGAGTTTCCAGGGGCTGCTCTTGGTCAGAGCCACTCTCTCAAAGGCGAGGCCTCCCTGCCCAGGTGGCCCGCACCCCCTGTCCTGCCTACTTGAAGGCACAGAGCCCTGGTACCTTGCGTGGACTTGGCTGCACCTGCTTGGCACGTCCACCGGGACAGGCAATGACCTTGGGTACAATGTGTTTCATACTTCAGCTCATCCCTCTGTGCAGGCCTGGTTGGTGGGGAAGCCTTAGAAGACACAATGGAAACTATAAATGCATATATATGAGTGTGCACATGGAGGAGAAGGTTAGAAATAGGTGACCCTGAGACTAGGTGACCCTGAAAGAGAAATTGGCTCAGTTCTTTTCTTTTTCTTTTCTACTCTTTGCCAGACCTCTCCAGAGTGCTGAGAAGCAATGATGTCAGTCTGGAGACTAAAGTGCCCCTAATTCAGGCTATGGTCTTTGCAATTACACACTATACATCAGAGCTCTGGACTAAGGATAAGAGAAGAACTGATGCCTTTGACTTGTGGTGCTGGAAAGAGTCTTGAACATACCATGGACCGCCAGGAGAACATATAGATCTATCTTGGAGAGGGTGAAATCAAGTTTCTCCTTGGAGGCAAAGATTTTGAAGCTCTGTCTCACATACGTGGCCAGATGGGATCAATCCCTGGAGAAAGACATCATGCTTGGAAGGGTGGAGGGACAGGGCAGGAGAGAAAAATCCTGGATGAGATGGATTGACATGATGACTGGGGCAGTGGGGTTAGGTGTGTTGGAGTCACTGAAACTGGCTCAGGATAGTGCAGGGTTCCGAGTTGTTGCTGTACCTATGTTACTATGAGTCCCAGGTGACTCAATGGCACATACCAACAACTCTTTGCCATTGAGTTGGAACTGACTCACAGCTGACACTCCAGTGGTTTTGGGGAGGCTGTAAACTGCACGGGAGGGGATTGTCCAAGGAGCCACAGGTGGATTCCAGCCGGGCGAGTAGATTCAGACCTTTGGGTTCGTGGGTTAGCAGTGTCACTCCTCACGGATCTGCCACCAGTGCTCCCTGCGCTTCTTGTAGGTCTGACACGTCTCTAAACAAAATCTGGGGTACGGGTGGCAGTAAAGGTGAAAATTAGTAAATATGCAAACAAAGGGGCTGGAAAAAGAACCACAGAGGAAACAAAGGGAATACAGAACCAAGTCCAACCCACACTGTCCAGTTGGTTCCGACTGAAAACTCCCTCCTAAGACAGAGCAGAACTGCGCACAGGGTTTCTGTGGGTGGAAATCCTTGTAGAAGCACATATATCTCATTTTTCTCCCACAAAGTGGCACGTGGGATTGAACTGCTGGCCTTTTGGTAGCAGCCCCAGGCTTACCTCACAGAGTTGCCAGCACCCCTTAAAGGGGATGGAAATACAGGAAAATAAATAGAACAGGAAAATGCGGTGACTTGTAGAGACTAATAAATGAACTTCTGTCAAGACAGGCAGCGTACATGATCGGGCGAGGGCCATTTTACTGTGTAAACTTTCACTCAAAACACAGAAAACAGTTTTTTAATAGAAAAGGTTGGCAGGACCAAAAAAAAGAGGACAAAACAAAGAAACAATATTAGTGATAAAGAAGGATGTAACTTACAGTTAAGATTGTTGTTGTTGTTAAGTGCTGACCCTATGAAGCCGAGTCCTCAACACTTGAGTGTCATCCTCTCTCCAGGTTCATAGGGTTTCTGGAGACAAGCTATTACGGAAGTGGATGCCACTCCTCCTTCCAAGCTTGTTTTAATCGGGGAGCTCCACTCCACTCTCTGTCCGCATTGGGCAACCAGCCATTAACGCATTTGACACACATCAGTGTCACAGTGTCAGATTATAAACACAAAAAGATAATTCTTTAAATTTTTTAAAATTACATTTTATTAATTTTAATGAACATTTACAGAGATTTTGGATTTCCGTTCATTCATTGTTACACTTTTCTCTC